TCTAAAGTCTCTGTATTTGTTACATGTAAAGTGCATGGCATAATAAGCATGTAAAATTTAAGTTACTGATGGCAAATTTATTTTGTATTATATGTTTCCCACCGAACCCACATACTGAAAATAACCTGCCTTGAATGCACTTTAAAGGGGCCGTAAACACAGAGCGTATTTATATTCCATTGCACAGCTTTTCCATTGTTTTGTTTTTTTCAAATGCCATGTCAATTTAAGGAAGTTTTTCTTTTAAAAACGCGCTCCCTACCTCGCATTTCTAAACACCAAAACTGATTAGGGGCAGTTCATAAACAACACGTTTTTGCATTCAACCATGCTTACTATGATTTACGAAGCTACGAGAATACTTTTTGTGCACAATGAAAACAATAACATGTTTATGTTCAGTAGACAGCGATTGCATGCTGAACGCAGCGCTGATTACGTTTTGGGGTACTCTCCAAAATGGCAGAAGACTGTAACTCTGGGAGAAGAATTGTTGATTAAATTGTTATTATTGTTTTCTTTGTGCACAAAAAATATTTTCGTAGCTTCGTAAAATTATGGTTGAACCACTGATGTTACATGGACTATTTTACCAATGTCCTTGCTACGTTTCTGGACCTGGGAACACTGCAGTTGCATTGCTGTCTACAGAGGGTCAGAGAGCTCTCAGATTTGATCAAAAATATGTTAATTTGTGTTCTGAAGATGAACGAAGGTCTTATGGGTTTGGAACGACATGAGGGTGAGTAATTAATGACAGAATTTTCATTTTTGGGTGAACTAAGCCTTTAAGGGCTGTTCACACAGAACACATTTTTGCATTCCACTGCGCTGCTTTTCCATCATCCTTATATGTAAACATGCGCTAGGCAGATATGTTTGATGCATAACTGAAGTTAAAAAAAGTTTAACTTTTAAAAAACATGTCTTAAGACAGTTTTCTCTCTGTAAAAAACACATTCTGTGTGAATGGCCCCAAAATGGCCTTTAACACAGAACGTTTTTACATCCCACTGCATAGTTTTTCTATGCAAGAGTGCTAGACAGATGTTTTTGACCATTGTCCCATATGCCTCATGCATAAGCATTTAAGATGCCATGTCAAATAAAAGAAATACTTAGGCGCAGATGGCCTCATTTTTTATTTGATAAAAATGAATATTATAAATGTCAATACATATTTTCTTTTCTTACAGAGTATTAAATTTTTGAAAGGAAAACAGAAGCGTATGTATAATAACCACTTACTACTAATTCTATTAAAATAAACATGTAAGTCAAAGGACAAATAAGCAGCTGTGTGTGGCTTGAACATCATGGAACTGTCATTTGCAGAAAAAATGGCCCCGCCTCCGATCCCGCCCCCAGCCCCACCTTCAGGCCAGTCTCCAGCCCCGCCTCAGTCTGCTCCACCACCCTATGGTGCTGCTGTTGGTTTCTTATTTTGTAAGATATGGCCCCCTTTTAATATATTTTTAAAGGACCAAATACAGTATGATTCCAAACGGATGTTCTGAGAGTTTAAAAGCTGCCACAAGATGGAGCTACTCTATTTCATATTTCTTCAGTTCTTGTTGATTCCTGGCCTGTACATGACATAGTGACACTTTTCTTACTCCACAGCTTTTGGATCTCGTTTTGGAAAGCCAAAAGGCCCACGAAATAAGCCAGGAACATGGGTCTAGTTCATGCTGAAGGTGAAAGAAAAGGAAAACAGCCTCACAGGACGGTTCAAAAGAGGATTTACTGAGCAAAGTTTTCTTTCGCTGTGGTTTTTGAAGGATAGAAGCACAACAACGGACCTCACTCAATAGATGGACATATATAAAGATTGTACTTTTGTCAATGACTTTGAAAATTTGTAAAGGTATAATGCAAGCGAATTGCCTTTTTAGACTTTAAATATTGAAGCGTTGCAACTTTATGCAACTAAAATGTATATAAAATGATTACAGATGTGAATGTGCTGAAAAGTAGATACTTCTGTAATCTCATAGGTAACATTTTAATGTATTTTATAATATATAGCGCTGCAGGTAACCATGGCCAATCAAGCTTTTCTATGTCACAGAACATTGGACTTAGTAACAGCGCATTTGGTGCCATGTCTATCTGAAAGGGATGAAAATGACAGAAGATTGTGAATATCTGTTGTCATTTTGTTTTGTGACAGTATATAACTCTGCCTTTTCTTATTTGTATATTTTCAATTTCTGATGCAGTGAAACGCATGGTACACTCATAAAATGGTTTATTTAAAAAAATACAGAAAAAAGTCTATGCATTCCATTGCATTTTTACACAATTGAAAAGATCCACATGACAGTTCTATTAAATGTAACTTAGCATTTACAAAACATTACTTTGACTATGTTCGTAATTGACCATCTAATTAGTCCTTAAAAATCAATGAAATCGAAAACCTTTATACAAATATCAAACAGAGCAAATAATGAATCAAACACACAGAGCATGCCTTGACCCCTAAGTGGATTTTTCCTATATTACAAACGACCATCGAAACCTGATCAACACACACACACAAAAAAGAAAATTAGCTGCCAAAATTCAGAAGAAACATAGAACACTAAACATCATGTTTATTTCAATTTAACATGAAACCGTAAGGTATAAAAGCATTATTGTGTGATGCTGAGTGGAAAACATGTCTGAAACTGTATTAATGGGAAGATTCATCTTAATGGATTGGTGTTAAAGACCAATAAAGACATCTTAAAAGAATTTCAAGTATTCTGGGTGAAATAATTAAATGATCTTTTCTTTCATTACGCAAAATTGTTAATCTACAGAACCTGTAACTGAGGAAATGCCATTGAGTAGTATAGGCAAAATTATTTTTGTTTAGGCTTTCACACCTGCCTATATAATCCTAACCCTAATTTTAAAACACTGGGAAATATAGGAAGCAGATTTGATTCATATTGCACGATTTTGAATTCTCTATAGGTCATTTACCACAAATTTTTCTTTATTTTGTTGGCATTTGGTGACCAATAAAACGGTCACCTTTAGTTACTTTTGGATAAGTAGAATTTGTATCACAGAGTAAGCATGACTTTTTTATGATAATAAATCCCCAATCTTTACTTATTGCCAGACTTTATGAAATTCCATCACAATTAATGCTTTGTACAACTTGAATAACATCAATTAGCTTAATAGCAGACAATTAAAGACTCAATAAAAGGCACTCATTTATAGAGGATGCATTTGATTAAGGAAAGCCATTAGATCATTTTGTTGAAACCATAATCACTGCAGACTGATTGGCTTGCTGGTGTGAAATTACATTCAAATCAGTCATTAGCAATTCTTGGCATCAACAGAGAAGCACAACTACTGCCCATAACCCTTTCAAAAACACTAAATGCCTGCTTTAAGACTTAATCCCATTCAAAAGAAACATGTCAACATGTTCAAAAACATTACTGACACGCAACTACACTCAGCAAGTGAAAGCTATATTGCAGTCATCCAACTATCTGGGTTAGTCACCCTAGAATGCTTATCATAAATTACTAAGGACAACTTCAGTTCAAACACATAGGAAATAAGTGTTATGCAATAGCACTGGACATGTGCCTTCTGCAGCTGCTACTATACTCATAAATAATATCAAATGCTTTTTTGAAGGAGAAAAATCTGGGTAGCAGATTATGGGAAGAGCAACATATAATAACGGTTTTCTTGTACAAGAAAAACAGGAGTTTATTCATGCCTTGTTAATGTATATTAATGAGTTAATTCATATTTGCACTGACTGATTTTCAGAAAAAAATCAAAATCAACAAATGCTTAAAACGGCCAAAGCAACAAGATTAGTCATTTAGGACATTTTTTAAAAGTGGTGACAATGAGAGACCAAAAAAAATAAAAATAAAAATTCAAAGAAAATCAAAGTATGATTTAAAAAGATCTTTCCATTGTGACTCTAAAACTACTCTGATAGTATGAGCAGAATTGTGTAAAATCTGAATGGAAGCTTGTTTAGATGATCCATCTGAATCAAGAGACCGTTTCCTTTACATGAAGCTCATACGAACACATGTCAGAATAATAGATTCAATCAAAACACAAAAATCTGAATGTATGGATTAGATTGCTATAAAACTTTAAAGTAAAGTAGAAGGAGACTTGACCAAATGAAAAGGCATCAGAATGTTGCCCCTGAGTGTAGGTTTGGTTATTTACATTTCTATCTAATTTTCTGCTAACATCCGGACTTGATGGAATATGTCTTCCTAGCAAACAATAAAAACATAAAAAAGCACAACGGCTTCTGCACACAATACAGACAGAAAACAAACATGACAAATTAATTCATGACCATGATCTTAAAAGATTGACTATTCTGGACAAAAATAAATAATTAAAATGAACAAACAAATGAACAAGCCTCTTGTGGAGGCTAAATCCTATTTCCTGCATACATTAGAAGTAATGCACAAGTTCCTCTTTGATAATTACTGCTATTAGTCATTCAAAAAATAATTAATTTTCCTTCAAGCGAACCAGAGAAAGATAAAAGAAAAAGCAAATATCTCTCACTTTAAACAGATACCTACTCGCTAGTCTAGCTTAAATACGTCAAATATTTCAGTGACATTACACCATGGGGAAAAAAATAAGACTGCTGTTCTCTTTAAGATATGATTGCTGCTCTCCACTTGTGACAGGCACTTTTTTCCTTGTTTTTGTCTGTAAAAACCAATTAGCAGATCAACATGATGCAAATGACGGCCTGGGAAACAACCTGAAAAGTCCCTCTTGAGAGATAGTTTGTCTCATTTATAATAATAATAATAATATATAAACAAATATAAAACAATACTGAGCAATCAGCAAAAATATATTTTAAATTAAATACTTTAGCTGAGAAAAACCTAAAAAGTACTCACGGGGTCATTTCCTTAACCAAAAGTTAAAAAAGGAAAATATACAGTCTTCATTTTTAGGCAAGGTCCAGATATTCCTTTGTTTACACTGTGGAATGTCAGTCAAGTCTGTTAGGCTAAATAAAACCCCATCCCTCTGCAAAAGGAAGGATTTGGAAGTCATTTGGGGAAATCCATGGGCCTGCTGCCATCGAGTGAGGAGTCTGATGCAGGCTCGGCGGGAGCCTGTGGAAGCATTTGCTCTGGTGTGGGCGAGGACAGAGGGCAGGGTGCTGGGACAGGAGCGGTGGAAACAGTGTGGGCGGATTTAGCCGGTTGTGGAGGCGCGGGCTGCGGCTCTCTGGGTGGCGTTGCGGGCCTCTGGAAAACCAGTTCGTCTATTTTGGCCACTCCGCCTTGTGCCGTGTCCGCTTGTAGACGGGCGCAAGAGGTGACTTTGGTGTCCAGGTGAACAGGGGATGAAGAGGGGGGAGGACATGAAGTGGAGCACAGGTCCTTGGTCTTAATGTCCTTCGATTCCTCCTTCTCTTCCTCGGAGTAGTACTGCTTTAGACGGATGTGCCATGCAAGGCTGCACACGGCCGAGACGGTCTTGAACTGGTGGATCACGTTGCGAGGGATGAAGTAGATGTCGTCGTCACAGAGCTGCAAGCGAACATAGCGGATGCCTTCTCGCCGTAACTGGTTGAGTTTGGCATCGTCCACCCACTGGACACACTGTAGAGAGAGGGGTATTATGGGAATGCTGACCTATTTTATACCCGTCTACCTGTATATCATCTCCACACCCGTTCAGGATCATGAATAAGTTACTGCTTACCCAACACCACATGGCATTAGACTGATCTTAAACTAAATATAAATTATGCATTAGAAAAAACGAAATTCATTTTACAAAAAAGTAGCCCCACTTATACAGTATATGCTGGTTTTTCAGACAATGTTTTTAACACTTGCTTTGACTTCCTTAGAAACTATAATCATTTTTGGAGGAAAATAAATACACACAATGGGCCTCATTTACGAAACGATCGTACGACAGAAAATTGGGCGTACGGTCGTTTCAATGCAAAACTTGGAATTTATCAATATGGATGTGAGCGGTGGCTACAATCAAATCTCACGTCTGGTCTCAGCTCGTGTACGCAAGTTTTTGAGTTACCTGAACTTGCGCTTTTATTTCATTTTATTTTCCTGACCGTCAAACAAAGCTCATTAGTCGATCGTTAGCCAGTAAGATTAGAATGTCTTTTTTTTTTGGTTTTATACAGGGCTTAGGGCTGGACAATAATTCAATTATCAATATGTATCGCAATATAATTTTTCTCAATAATGGTGATATGATTTTTAAACGTATTTCCGATATTTCGATATACATTACCAGTGTTTCCCATAGCTACATTGATTTATTTGTGGCGTTTGACTTCGTTGAATAAACATGAGCACTGCACGTTTCAAAATCAAAACGCGGCACGGGTGTTTTATATGAATGTGTCTCTGAAGGGAAAGGCTTGTCTTCAGAAAACTTTCGATGGCATTTTCATTTTATCTGATAAAGAAGCGTTCATGAGCGGAGCTGCTTTGATTACAGCCATTACTGGAGAAACCGCTAGTTCTACCACTCTCAAAGTGCCTCCTGCTGGCAGAGAATCAGTTTGCATTTTCAAAAGCCTGTCTCCAGTAACATGTTTTTGTTGTTGCTCTTTTTTTTTTCTCCAGCAACTCAGAGCACTTTTCATACTTTTCATATTGTCTAAAGCACATTTGTTTCAATCTATAAGAATAATCAGCCTACACTACCAGTCAAAAGATTTTTTTGTAAGATATATATATTTATATATATTATAATATAATATAA